TATTTAAGCTAGTCTTTTCTTTTAACTGTTGTTAAAAGCCCCAGTCTGGCTCTAAAAAATTTATTATGGTTGAAAGTTGCTTGTTACATGAAAAACGGAGATTTTTTTTTTTGAAGTGGATGACAATAAATTTTTTCGTGTAATGTTTATATTGAATGACACTTGATTTGCAATGTCCCACAACTATTAAGGGATTTTTTGGTGTTTTAATAGTGTGTAGCCTCTTAATTATATTCATGATATTCATGAATAAAAACCCTACAAATTAATAGACAATCTGGATAAAGAGAATATAAATCAAACAAAAAATCTTCAGATTGTTGAAAGCAGAGAAGAATCTTCTGGATACTCATCATCAGAAGATATATTCGTGGTGACTGTACAAAGGTATAAAAGAAGGAAAAAATGTGATAATGGTGAAAATGTTAATTGATTTTTAAATCAATAAACTTTAAAATGAAAAAAGAATCCTTCAGACTATTCAATGGGTAAAGCATAAGGTAAAATATATACATGCAGCCCAAAGTATTTTGACACTGTCATAAAGGGGGTTACACATGTAGTAAAGGAGTATTACACTTATGTTTTTAATAGTGAATGCCATAATTAATTTATACTTTCTACCATCAAAATTGGAATAATTTTGACCATCAAAATCACCAAACCAATTTGGGGTGCATGTATAGTAAAATAACAATGTATACATTATTACATACATAATATATATAGTATATTAAACATGAAAAAATTTTTTTTTAATCAATTTACAGATATCACTTCTTGCTCTAGTGGTTGATTGTAATCAATCATAAATAAATGGATATGTATAAATTATTGTTATTATAATTTAATATTTAACAAGTAATTTCTGTAGAAAAAAGTTAAAATAAAAATATATTTAATAATAATAAATTAAAGTGATTGACTTTCCAAGTAATTTATTTGATAAATTTACAATAGATCATTTGAATCTTTAGTACAGTCAACAATCATTTCAACAGGCTTTTTTTCAACAAATTTAAGTGACTACCCCCATGAATAATAATGACTCCCTGAAATCCTTGGTAATATCAATGTTCACTTTGTCTGGTTTTGTTGCAGCATGCCTAAGGTTGTGGGAGAAACTCCTCCAGAAATCAATTGACAGAGTTTCGACAGGTTACACATTAATTGTTTATTAGAGTTTCGGCAGAGTTTCACATTTGGGGTTTTCGCCAATCATCAGAGTTTCGACAGGTTACACATTAATTGTTCATTAGAGTTTCGACAGAGTTTCGACAGTTATTAAGAGGTTTCGCCCACAACCTTAATACAAACCCTACATCTAATAAAGCTAATTTCCCTAATTTACTAACAAGCTTATAGAATTCTATATAATTAATTTTTCTAACTTCATTGGTTGTTTTTTCACTAGAAAGTTCTTCTAAAAACTTTATAATTTTGATGTTAATAGTTGTATTAAATTTTGATAAAATATGATTCTTGTAATGCTCCAATTTGATTTGGAAATTATCTTTAACTAAATATTTATCATCAAGGTCTATTATGTATGAAGCTAATGGAGCATCATATTTTAATTTCGCTAAATAATTAGCCTTTATATTTGAAAAATATTCTTTTATTATTTTTGTTCTTCCAAATTTAATAGGTTCGCCATATTCATTTAACTTTTCCTTAATAAAAAAAAAATCAATTTTATATTAAAAAAGGACCAAAACAAAGTCTGAAATTTATATTTACCTCTACAAATTTTCTTAATCTTTCTTTACATTCTATAATATCATCTTCCTCTATTTCATCATCAGGCTGTTCGTTTACACTAATATTAAATAATGAAAAGTAAAGTTTATGGATTATTAATTGTCTTTGTTTCTATTTCAAAATGTGTATCAATAGAGTTAGAACTGGTCAAAAAACTTTAACTGGTTGATAACCAGTTAATTATATTTATTTATTAATGTTATAACTAGAGTGATGCTGAGTGGTGGTGATAACCATCACCACCATTCTTATGATAAACACTACTTACCCATTTCTTTCATCTTTATCACCTTGTCATTTTCTTTTATTTTTTTGTTTTTGTTGGGACATTTTTATTTTTTATAAAAAAATAGAAAATAAAAAAAAAGAATTTGTTATTTGATTGACAAAAACGCATACTAATTATGTATGGAACCCCCCTATTTTTTGGAAAAACAATTTATTTTTTGACAGATGACAAAATGTGAGTGATGTTGTTTAGCATGATTGGTTCTAAGAGGAAACATATTAATAACTAACCAGAGGTAACTTTTTTTAATTTGCATTGATATGTCTTTTAAATCAAAACGCAGAGCAGATCTTGTTGGGAAATTATAAATTCTTGATGTATTTGGCTTTTTGTAATCATTATTAATATTAACATTAATATTAAATATATAATTAATTACAAGATGTCAAGGCAGCACATGACTTGAATATAAAACATTTCAAATATGTGATGTTTGATTATTGGAAGTTGGCAGGTGTTGAAGCACACATGCTGCCTTGAACACTTACAGTCATTCTCATGTTCCTCATGTACACAAGGCTAATCTGAACATGGTGCCCCTGATGATACAATGATGCAACAAAATTCCAGGGGGGAGTCCAAGGCCCTGGAGTTTACCAAGACTGCATTAATTGTCAAGGACACTTTCACTAATCTTCCCACACAGCACCAGACCAGAGAAGGCTGCCATGTTAGTTGAAAAGTCACCTGCAACAATCCTACCTCTAAGGATTGATCTAAAGACTAGTGCCGTAAATTATGGTGATGGTAGTAATTGTATTTACGGCATATAAAAAGTGGTCACAATTACCTTTGCGACCACTTTTGCAACCATACTTTTTCCTTTTTTGGATTACGGCACTAGTCTTTAGTTGAAACTCTGTTGATTGATTTCTGGAGGAGTTTCACCCACAAGCTTAGATCACACATGGTCACACACTATTAAAATCAAGTGTTTTTAAGGGATTTTTTGCTGTTTTAATAGTGTGTAACCCTTAATGGCATTCATGATATCTGTGAATACATACCCTAATGGTGTAGGTTATTAAAATTACACAAAATGGGAATAAGGATGGGAAATATGATTTACAATTATAAGCCTAGAAAGATTTGCTCAAATCTTTCCAACTACTGGCAAAAGTTGATATGCTGAATCTGTATGTAGATTTTTAACTCATGTTAGCAGAATAACATCACTAAAAAATACTAATAAATAAATACCTTTTAATTTCTCATTAAATCCTAAATACTATGTAATATTTTTCAAGAACCATTTCAAAAGTATAAGTTAAAACAAAATAATGTGATATTTAATATGTGTAAGGAGTTTGTTAAAGTTGAAGAAGAAAAGATTGACTCTGAAGAATATGATATTATGGGAAACATCGAATTTGGAAAGTGAGTAGATCAATCCAAAAACTTGAGCAAATAATGGAGGGTTATTGGAAGCAATATTTATATTTTTTTTCTTTTTTAGGGGCAAAATTTAGGGATCACTGAAATACAAATCTTTCGCAAAAAATGGAAAACCATGGGTTAATGAGGGCTCTTAATGTATGTGAAGTAATTTCTCCACTGATAAATATAGTGATGGATGATTTGCCAGGGTATCCATCAGCATAGGGTATATGGTATGTTTATTATATATATTAGATAAGCACTTTATTTCATCTGACTTGTTGCATGAATAATATGAAAATTCTAAATTAAGAGGCAAAGAAGGAAGTTTAGCTAGTGCTATGAGGAAAGGTTTATGAAAAATTGCACAAAGAGCAGATTATACTTTGCTAGCTCATTTAGGAAAAAATGCGGAACTTGAAATTTCTTTTTTAGAAACTGGACAGCTGAATTCAACTTTAATTAAGCAAATATGGGATCATAAAAAGTTGGCTGGATTTTCTATAGATTCTATTGACACCACAAGGAATGTTTCTAATCTTTGAAAAAGATTTAGCCAATCAATTACAAGACAGCAACTGGCAATTTTTACAGTTAATGTTGCTGGTAAGTAATAATTATGCTAATTACATAAGATTCATAGGTTAACAACTAAATTTTGTAGGAGATATGTTGGAAATTTATGCTATGCATAGGGAAACAGGCATCCTCAAATATTGTTTATTAGAACAGGTTTCAATTCTTTTACATATAGCAATTCCTAATGATGTCCATAATATTATTCATACATTGCTAACCTTAAGGGTTAGTTTTTTTTTCTTTTTGTTATAGAATTTCAAGAGTAAAAAATAATTATTATTTTGATTTTTAGACAGGAGTTGCATGTATGTTATATAAAATCCTTCATAAATATGAAGGGATGCTTAATAAGCTTCGTTATGAAGATGTTCAAAGATGCATTGATGGGTAGAGATGGGCAAAATTGCATAATGCGCACTGAATTTTTTAAAATGCGCATAATGTCACAATGAATAATGAATTAGTAAAATTTGGTCTTATTTTACAAAGCTTGGCCATGAGACCACTTATAAACAAGAAAGAGCTCAATGTAATTATTGTTCACATAAATTGCTTGCTGCTGCAAACCGTACCAAAGTTTCACATCATGTACTTAAAATGATGTAGTATTGATATAGGTGAGGATGAAAATGAAGATAATGAATTATCAGAAGTGGAAGGGAATTTAAATAATGAGATTAGGGAAGGTGATGAAGAAAGTGATAATGGATCAAATGAGTCAGATACCATAATTGAATTATATGAGTTAGATGGATATGAAAATGATTAAGAAATAATTATTTTATTTAGGTTAAATTTTATACTTTTAAATAAATCGGTTATATAAAAGATCATCATGTGCATTATGCAAATTAATGTTCATAATTCCAATCTCTATGCATGGGCATAAAAACGATGTAGTTATTAATGCTAGGAATTGGGCACAAAATGAAGTGGCAACACTGGGCATGGCTTTTTATTATTTCAAAGTGCCATTTCATATTGTGATGGATCTGGCGATATTATCCCTACACCTTGATTGATTCTAGTGATCTGGATTAGTTGGTTAATTCATAGTTTACATCATTTCATTATATGGATTTTTAAAAAATCTCTTATAACTAATAAATGGGAATTTTTCTTCTGTAAAAATAGAAATTTCTTGCCGCTCATATTCTGTTGCTTGCTCTCTATGTCCAGTACATTATGTTTTGTTTTTATGGTTAAATATCTGCTATTTTTCTATTCCAAGAGTTTTAACATTGTTTGGTAAAGCTAGAAATTTGTTTGAAACCTGTATTTCTTAAAGCGTTAGTTTATCATTACTTGATGATACCAGCAGCAAAATTAAACGTTTAGAAATGGCAATTGCATGTATAAGATTATTATTAAAATATCATTTTGAACTAAATAATAATTATAGCAATGAGTGAAAATTTAGAACAGTTATTACTTATTTTTTCAATTACTAAATTTAATTGTTTAGGTTTAAAATCATTTTCAACTTCTTTAATTGTCATTGTTGTTTTGGAACAATTAAATCATGTGATGCTGAGCTAAAGAACTTTTCGCTTGCCATCAAAGTATCCTTGTTTGTAATTATAATTATTGTAATTGTTACAATTATTATCGTATTTTATAATTAATTGTATAATTGATTGATTGACAAATAAAGAAATCGAAGATTAATTAATTTTAAATTTTTAAAAAAGAATGAAATTCAAATTTATTTTTCTTTCTTTTTTATTGAATCATCTTTACCACCACCACCACCATTATTATTATTATTAGTTGATGTATCTGGTGAAGGTTTGTTGTCATTTATCTTTACTTCTTTTCTTGGTATCGGAGGAATAATTCCTGCCTAAAATCATTAAAAATTTTTTTTAATTTAACCCTACTTTTTATATATACGAATAACTTTCTTATCTCTTACTAACTTCCCTCCACTTTATCCTCCATTTTCCCTCTATATACTTATAGATTTGTTACCTTTGATAAAAGTCTAGCAACAGTTTCACTAGGTTGTGCACCAACTCCCAACCAATATTTAATTCTTTCAATGTTTAACTCAATATTTTTTATACCGTCTAGACTTGGAATTGGATCATAAATTCCTACTTTTTCTATATGTTTACCATCTCTCGGAGATTTAATATCTGCAACTACAACATGATAAAATGGTCGGTTACGGATACCATGACATGCCAAACGAATTCTCACTACCATTATTTTTATTTAGAACTTATTACTTGAAAAAGCTTTTTTTTTTACCGCATGTTTGCAAAAATGATAATCAACAAATTATGTGTGTAACACGATGAGCTATAAATACAAACACAAAGTAAATTTTTTTGAATTTTATTTATTAATTCAATTTTTATTTTTATCTAGAAAACTAATTATCGTTTTATAAAGATGGATATTAATACAGTTTATCAATTATTTGGTGCAACTTTTCATTCAGATCGAAGTATTCAAAAACAAGCCGAATTACAACTTAAACAGGTAAAATAAGAATCTTTATCAATTAATATTGTTATTGTTATTGCTATATCGATAAATTGATGATGTGGTGATTACAATTAGTTAGAATTTCAACCTGGATTTGTTTCAGTACTTCTTCAAATTTTGAATTCAAAAGATTTAGAAAATGGAACAAAACAAGCAGGTATTTACACACACACACACACACACACATTCATTTATAATTTAATAATAATAATATTATTATTATTTGATTTAAAAAGTCTCGATATATCTAAAGAACATGGTTAGACATTCATGGCATAACAATGTCAGTCATGATGATACATTTTTTTCAATTGCTGCACAAGATAAGGAAACATTTAAGTTGAATATTTTAAATATTTTGGCAATATCACCAAACCTTGTCAGGTAAAATTTAGATTTTTACTCTTTAAAAAAAATTATTCTAATAATAACAAAGACAATATTATTATTAGAATACAACTTATTGATTGTTTGAAAAAAGTTTTGATAGCTGAGTATCCTTTAAAATGGCCAAGTTATATGAATCAAGTCCGCGAACTTTTGGTGATTAATAATCCAGAAGTTGTTTACGTTGGATTAGTAGCATTACAACAAGTTGTTAATGTATATCAGTAAGTTAAAATTATATTACATTTGTGATGAATTATTGCAAAATACTATAATTAATTAATAATTTGTTTAGATGGAAATCAGGAGAAGACAGAGAACCTTTAAATGAAATTATCAAAAATACATTTGGAATTATTATACATATTGCTCAAGGCTTAATAAATGAAACAAATCTTGTTGCAGCTGAAATGTTAAGAATTATAATTAAAACTTATAATTCATCGGTGTATTTTGATTTTCCAGATATTCTAAGAGAAAATGAGAACTTTTTACCGTGGTTTAATCTTTTAATAAATTTAACAATTAAAGATATTCCAAATGATATCATCCCGGTGGATTTAGAGGAAAGACAAAAATTTATTTGGTATAGGGTTAAAAGATGGTGTTTTCAAACCTTGAATAGAATATTCAGTAAATTTGGAAATCCAATTCAAATTCCATCATCTTCCTCGTCAAAATATTTAAAATTTTCCGAGAATTTTATTAAAAATTATGCTCCAGAAGTTTTGCAAAAATATTTGGAAATAACTGAGAGATGGATTAAAAAAGAAATTTGGTTAAATAATAAAATATTATATTTCATATCAGATTTCTATAAGGACGCGTAAGTTTAATTATTTTTGAACTTGAAAATTTATTATTATTATTAAGCTGATTAATTTTTATGCATATATGCACGTTTTGAAAACTTTAGCCTGACTAATAAAATAACTTGGCATATAATGAAACCATATTGTTTAACGTTGGCTACTCAATTTATTTTTCCTCAACTATGTTTTTCTGATGAAGATGAACAATTATGGACAGATGATCCAGTTGAATACATTTTCAAAAGGGTTGATCCATTGGATGATTTCAACTCACCAATGACATCTGTTACTAATTTTTTAATTGATTTAGTAAAATATAGGAAAAAATTTATATTTTCAAGTGTGCTAGAATTTGCCAACAACGTATTAATTAATGGTAATGAACGACCAAGAGAAAAGGATGGAGCTTTAAAAATGGTCGGAAGTTTATCCAGTGTCATATTAAAAAAGAATTCAGGGGTTTCACAAATGATGGAGTCATTTCTAGCTGCTCATGTATTTAATGACTTTCGATCAGAATATCATTTCCTAAGAGCCAGGGTATTTACATTTATTATTTATTATTATTATTATTGCTATATCTAAAATTTATTAAACATTAACAATTAAAATTATTGTTGTTTTTAAAGGCATGTGAAATGGTTGTAAAATTTGGTATAATAAACTTTGAAAATGAAGCAAATTTGTCAACTGCTTTTGGAGGTGTTATTAATTGTATAAAAGATCCAGAATTGCCTGTTAAAGTACAAGCATGTTTGGCATTACAAATACTTATTAAACACAAATCAGGTAAATAATAATATTTCATGTATACATACATACATACATACATACATAATACATTAATTAAATCATTAAATCATTTATAGTTAGAAATGCTATAATTCCAAATATTGCAGTGATTATGCAAGGTAATTAATTAATCGTCTTGTTGGATATATATATCTTTATCTATAAATTTAACTTGTAAGAGTCTTCATTATTTTAATTATTTTGTTTTTATTTTTTTTTTTTGAAAAGAAATACTTGATATTACAAATCAAATTGATTCAGATATTTTGGGTAGTGTTATGGAGGATTTGGTTGAGGAATATTCAAATGAATTGGCCCCATTTGCAGTTCAATTATGCCAACAATTGGTAATTAAATTAAATTTATTAATATCTTAATAAGAATAACAATTATATATATTTATAGTTATATAATATATAATTATATATTAATTATCAGTGCAATACTTTTCTTCGTATCATGCAAGAGTATCAAGAATCAGAGGCTGCAGAAATAGATAATAATTGTGATGTTGATGATTTTGTTGATAGTTATGATATAAGTGACAAGACAATTATAGCGTCAGGTGTCTTAAAAACGGTCATAACTTTAATTTTAAGTTTGGAATCATCAACTGATTTATTACATCAATTAGAAAATGTTTTGTTGCCAATTATTTCATTCACTTTGGAAAATAATATAATAGGTAAAAAAAAATTTCTCAAGCTGTATAATAAATTATGTGATCCTGTATTGTTATTAACAACAAATATCTATGTACTTTAGATTTATATAGTGATATTTTTGATATAATTGATAGTTGCACATTTTCTACAAAAACAATTTCAAATACGATGTGGAATTTATTTAACTTGATTTATAAGACATTCAAACTTGATGGAATTGATTATATTGAAGGTGAATTACTATTATCAAGTGATTTATAGTTAAAAATTTATAGTTAGAAATTAATTATTTATTTATAAAATTTTTTTTTAGAAATGCTTCCATCATTAGATAATTATGTGTTATACGGTAGAGATGTTTTCATACAAAATAAAGATTTACAAATGATATTTTATGATATGATTGAAACTGTAAGTAATAGACGAGAATTTTGAAAATCATCATTATAATGCATTAATACTAATATGTAACATGTTTAGATATTTAACACTGATACGATGGCTGAGAGTGATAAGATTTGTGGTTGTAAATTAGCAGAAGTATTCATATTAAATTGTAAAGGTCATATAGATCAGGTAA